GATTACCGGGCACCTGATTACCATAGTTTTAAGACATGACAACATTGGAATAAAAAACTAACCATTTAAAAAAATGTCGGTCCAATTATGGTCTAGAATTTGGGTTTTCTTAGGGCCGTAGGTTTGGAGGGTCCAAGCGCTGCGTCTAGGAATGGCTAATTAATGAAACATAAAACAAACATAAAATCCTGCTTTGTGAGAAATTGCCTCACACACCTAGAAAATTGGCGGGGCGGGCATGAACTGCACTCAAATTTCACTGAAAGCTATAATATTAAAGGATTGGGCATCGGTTTGGATTTTTTTTCAAAATTATTGTTTATCGTTTTACAACGGAAAACGACCAAAATATCGTTTTTCGTTTTGGAATTGAAAACCAAAAAAATAACGTTTTGCGTTTTGAAACGAAAAAAGCGATCGTTTTGACATGTTTTAGAACGAAATATTTTAAAAACTAACGTTTTGAAGTATTCCCAAACAATTTCTTCCATTTATAGTTGTGAGCCAAAAAACGAATGTGCCCATCCTATAGCTTTAAACACCCGGTCATGAATATGGGTTCACCTAAAATGGGCATATGGTATCTTTTGCATAGAACCCGACATGAACTAAAGGGGTTTCAATCAAATTCAACTTGAAAGAGAATTGAAAAAAATATATTTCAGAGGTAATGTAGAATTATTTCTGTAGGTGGCAGTGAAATGATCAGCTCCGAGGTTTAAGGCAGATCCATCTAGCGGAGAAATGTTTCAATAAACCGAGCTGTGAATAATTTCCGGAATTAAAGGATTAGAAACTTAGCTAAGAGGAAATCCTTCTCTTCTTGACTTTTCTTTCCTTAACAATAGTTGCCAGGCAACTGTTTGTGATGTTGCCATCTTCAAACTTGGATACTTTTCAGAAAACTTGATTAAACAGGTTGAAATAAACTATTTTAAAATAACAATTTTAAACCCAGATTTTTTTCCAATTTTCGTTTTTACTTTCATAATTTTCATAATTCTCATAATTACCGGAGATATCAATGATTTCGTTTAGAATTAGACATTTTCATAGTTTTATTTAATAAATTGTAATTTAAACAAGATTCTTAATATCTCTGGTATAACTAAATGAAAAAAACAGCAGACCATATTTGGAAATGGCCGGACTAGGGCTTTTTTAAATATTTGTTTCTATGGTGTATTTTTGGACCTACGCCCATCCCCTCTACTGCCCATCCGACCTAAAACCACGTGGTTTTAACAGCTGTGGTAGGTCCGATGCACTGTAGGTCGGATGGGCACGTTAAAAACAGCATATTGGTGCATCCGACCTACTTTAAGCTGTCGCTTGGACACGTTAGTAGGTCTGATGGGCCTTTTTCGTAGGTCGGATGGGCATTTTTCGTAGGTCGGATGGGCATTTTT